TCCACCTCCTCAAGAGCTGCGCTCTAGTTCGGCATTACAGAGAATTGTAAACATCTTTTCTTTTTTTCACTTCATAATTCTTTAGAAAATGTTCCATTCAGTACAGTTCCGTATGCCATTTCGGTGTACAGAGGTCGCGGGACAATATTGTGTTGAACAGTTTCCGCATTTGTCGAATACGACTTGCCGTTAAGAACTGTGCGGAAGGAATGGAAGTGTCGTTAAAGTGAATATCGGAGTGAATAATTATACATAATTGATGGAGTACGGCGACCACCCTATTTTATTTCGTGACAACAAACAAGGCATTTCGCGAGCCTCTACTGCGATATGCGGGAAAGGCAGATGAAGGAAGCAGGGCCTGCAGTGGGAACCTGGGTTGTATGAAAATAATTAATGATAAAAGGGGAAATACTCAACTATGATGACACCGTGATTCTACTCAGCTTGCGACTTCAATTTCTATAGTGCCGGTGTAAGCCTTTCGATTGTACTCTTTAATCTTTGTACCGCAACGGAAGAAAAAAGGGAATACTTTTTTTTTTTGTGGCTGGCCTGATGTTGACACGGGTGTAAAAAATCCATTATTTGTCGCTAAAAAAAAAATATATATATATATATATATATATATATATATATATATATATATATATATATATATATATATATATATATATATATATATATATATATTAGTCGTTTGAGTTATGTTCCTAGAATATTTTGGTTCAGTCTTTTTGAAGCAAAATTATCAAGAGACTTGTTTTTGTTAGCGGCAATCTGCTATCAGGAAGGGACAATAATTCACCTGACGTTGTCAACTAACAGGTGTGCCACGTTGGCGTCATTGGCACTGCTCAAAGACAGTTGATTTTTGAAATATTTTTTTTTGTGGGTCATATGGTGCTGGTCTGTGAAAAACACGTTGAAACGTACCAACACCACCTGGGTAGCAGAGCCTGTGCACTGAATTGGAACACTGAATGTGTTACTGAGGTCTGTTTTTTCCTTTGTGAAATAAACCTCTGCTGCGTTTGGAGATTCTTGTTGTCCGGCCATTCTTTTTTCTCACTCTCGACAGAAAAGAAAAAAAAAATAGTGTTTATGGATCGGATTTTATGCGTACACAGCCCGTATCATGCTAGGCATACAAAACATATATAGCGACATACTAAGTCTCAATTATTAATACTTGATTATAATTACCGAGATTTAGCTAACTGCGCCGCGGGAATCGAACCCCGGATTGTACGATCACCAAGCTTTCCTGTGCTTTTGCTCCGCTCCACTAGGAGGATTTTTCGACGAGTACAGCTCTTAGGCGCCCGTTTCCGCGTATGACGACGTCGAGGTCGTCGTAACCGCCCCGCAAGATTTAGCGGGAAATTTGTTTGTTTTTGAGGTCACCTGACGTCGATTTTCCCGCGAAATCTAGCGGAGAAACCGAATTGGTTCATGGGTGACGTGATACGAAGTCATGTGACGTCATTTTCTTCGCGAAAGTTTCCCGGGGAAACTGAATTTTTGTTGAGGCCACTTGGCGTCAATTTTTCAGCTTAATTTAGCGGAGAAACGGGGAGTAGGGGAGGGTATGGGGGGAGGAGGATGGGAGGTTACGCAAGAGGAGGAGGAAGATGGAGGTGGAGGGAAAGGGAAGAGGAGGAAACAAGGAGTATGAGGAGGAGGGGAGGAGCAGGAGGAAACGCGTAGGGGACAAGGAGGAATGGAGGAGGAGCAGAGGAGTAGCACGGGAGGAGGAAAGGAAGAATGGCATACCTCTCCTCCGTACCCTCCTCTCCTCCTCCTCAAAAGCTGCGCTCTAATTTCTCATTACAAAGATTTGTAAAGGTCTATTTTTTCTTCATTACATGGGCACCCATCGGTTCAAGAAAAGCTCCGCCTTTAAAAGGGTGCCTATAGAAACGAAATTTCCGCACTTATTTATTTCTTTGTTTAGATCTATTAGTACTGGCAGCCCAGAAACACAAGTTTTATTTCTAGGCTGCCTGCAGAAAAGTGAAGAAAACTAGACTTTAAACAAACAAACATATTTGAAAATTGCGTCTGTGGCGGTCTGTGAAGCTCCGTTGGATTACTGTCACGTCATGAGTTAATTAGAAGTAGCGCCAGTTTGCGGCAGTATGGCTCGCTCGTGGAGTTACTTAGCCCTGGGTCGATAAACGCGTGGAACAGAACATTCTTTGCTTCCTGACCGTAGCGGGCGGAGTGACCAGAAGAACGCCGCAAAGTTTCCTCCTCCCTGCGCGCGCCACTTTGCAACTTTTGACGAGAAATCCCCCGCGATCCCTGGGCGGTGCACGAGAACACGATACAGCGCGGGGAGGCGAGCGTTTACGCCGCTCGCTGTGCGTTGTCTTTGGGCTCTGTAGCGCCGTTGGGCCGAAATTCGATCCCGTCATGCCTCGCTCAGACGAGGAGCGAGGGCAGACGACGGAAGTTCGTCTGCTACAATGAGCCATTCGCACAGCGGAACTGAACAAAAAAGTAGATTTTCTGCTCGAAATCGCGTCCCGCGGGCCACAAACTAAAACGCGAGCTTGAATTGTAAGCGCCTGACATTTCACGAAGGGAGGAATCGACAACCCGTCGTTTATTTGCAAAATTTGAGTCGCTATGTTGCCGTACAGACGCTGAAACCTACCAGTGTGCAATTAAAGGCCCAAGACAAACAAAGAGGCCGCGAGATCTCACATCATCCGTATGCGGGTGAAAAGTGGAACATTTGTCGATAAAGCTCCCACAACAGAAACCTGTGGCGCTTTCACTCAGCGTCCGGAAAAAAAAAACTAAACATGGAGACGTTTCTCGAGGCTTGAGCAAAGTCATATTGAACAACAGCTAACTTGCCCCGTCGCATTTTGTTTGAGAAAGCTCTCGTTCTCAATGCCCTCACCAGGGAAATGAAAAAATCTTAAGAAACGTACTGCTAGATATTCCAACGAACTAGATTTAAGCCGTATCGTTTCAGTGGTTCACTCATAATACCATGCTTAAAACGAAGCAAGCTCTTGCGCGTACAGTGCCATCAATTGTCTCAAGTGTGTGCAGTTTTGTAGTCAGCTGGTTTCGGAAACTTACGCCGTCTGTAGATATCTCTGACAACCGAGTTACTTAATTGAAAGTCATCTCGAATATAAGTTACACGTTGCAGCAACCGACGTCTATAGATAAACGATGGCAGCGACTGGGCATTCCCGCATTCCCACCCATCACGTCGAACAAAACGGCGCTAGTTTCCGCTTGAGGTCGGTACTTTTCCACAACATCAATGGCGACAGCATCAGTCAGCACTCGGTGCATTCGGCAAGTTCGTTGGATGCCGGTTCTCTGTGCAGCACTCCGCGAATGTAATGCATTAGAACTCTCACAGTGCAAGTCTGGATCGCGGGTCGGAAGCCCGTCACTGGCATCACCGGCGGCCATTGCTTGACAGACATGTACAAATTACTCGAAAAAGGTAGTTAAGTTACTGAGTATCGATGCCAGGAGTAATTGGAGTAGAGTAGAAATTACGCATTGGTAATAGTAATTGAGTAAACTGTTAACTACTGTAAAAAAGTAGCGAGTTACTTTGAAGTTACTTTCGAAGTTACTTTTTATATATGTGTGGTAGCAAAATGAACAGCAGTTTTGATCCGTGAAATATCCTGCGAACCTAAAATAAATGCAGTAATTTTTTGGTTTGCGTTTTCACCAAAATAGTTTATTTGCTCGCAGACGCAATTGTCTTTCAAAGTTCTTATCACGGTGTTTTCCCCTTTTCGTCCTAAAGACATCCCCAGCCAAGCTAAGACTACGTTCCACCGTGGCGCTGGATAGAACGGCAGTGTTGAATTTCAGAAACAGACTGTGCAGGGTCGGGTATGCGAGTGTCAGCATCTTTGGTGTCCATGACGAAACATGTGAAGTTTGTCTCGGCCGACAGGGTCTTTTATAACAAACTCTCCTCTTTTTTTTCTTTTTTCTTCGGCAAGTTGAGATTGTTATGACTGGCCCCTCTTTATTCCCACGACGTTTGGAGAGTACGCTGAGTGAGTGCACCTGACCATCATGGGGCAAAGTCTCGCGCCACGACGTTGAGATCATCCGGACGACTGCGCGTCTCGTTCCAATCCTAATGCTACGCTACTAAAAAAAAAAAAAATTTTTTTTTTGAAACGATGTATATTTTGTCACTGACGCCGGGTCCAACAAAAGGTTCTCCCAATGGTGACTCGCAATCCTCGCCGGCGACTACGGTATCTTGACACGCCTGACAAATAAATCGTTCTCACCAAAGAGGAGGTCTCCCTGGCGTTCGGAAGGACGCGAAGGATATCCCCTATGAAAATGGTTAATGCCATTTGAAAGTCATATTATTGCCAAATGGCAACAGCTGTTTACAAAAAGTCAATCAGCAGGCAACAGATGTTAATCGTCATTGAGACGTCACCCTGCTGACCCGGATAGCCATTTCGCCACCGTCAACTTTTTGCCGTTCTATTGGTTATTGTCGGTGTATCATCAGTGTATCTACATGTTAACGTTAAATGGCTAAAGGAGGCAATCAAAGGACTATACATTTTATAGTCTTTTGACTGCCTCCAATAGCCAATTAGCATTAGCATGTAGATACACTGGCAATGCACCGACAATAACCAATAGAACGGCAAAAAGTTGACGGTGGCGAAATGGCTATCCGGGTCAACAAGATGACATCTCAATGACGATTAACATCTGTTGCCTGCTGATCGACTGCTCTTAAACACCTGTTGCCATTTGGCAATAATACAAAATGGCATCAACCATTTTTATAAGGGCATAATTATCACATAGACGTCATTTGATCGACCATCGTGACCATTTTGCCATTGTCAACCCCTTGTAAATTTTAAGCTGGCCAGCCGAAAAACTGCAATAGTTTACATGGCCTACCATTGATTCCATGCTTGATACACATAGTGCCGGCTTGCAATATGGGAAGAAAACAAAGATTGAAGGACAATTTAAAGACCCAAAATTTATTTATCACAATGTCATTAAAATGACGTGTTTTTTTTCAAGACTAAGTTAATCACCCAAATGTAAACGATGAGTGAAAAAAGAACCTTTCCTTGCTTCCTGACATGTCTGTAAGGTGTCAGCTGAAAGAAGAAAAACATTATAAATTAAGTGGGCATATAACCAGAAATATTCTTGCAGCACATTAAAAAATATGCACAGAAGAACCTTGCTCACATGTTTTCTCGGCTGTTATGTTCACGAAAACCGGTCCTATCGAACGTCCAAAAGTATATATGTGTTAGAATTACAGGCTTCATGAATTTCCTTCTTGGTTCTTATGCCCAAACACTGCCACTCAAGGTGGCCGGCATGACTACTAGGAACACATACCCTGTCCCTTTTGCTTTACTCCCTTTATTTTACCTCCTTGCCTCTCTGCACAGTGTTTCTTGCTTGGTACTGTATGACAATAAGAGATTCAGGCTCTCACGACACCCCATTTTTCTTTACCACCTCCATGCCACCATGTTCAAACAGTGCTGATTGCATCAAGCCCCACCGCTTTGATGTGGCATACAGGGTGCAGTGATTTGTTTGAGGCAGCTGTGGTTTAGCTCGATGGGCTCAGAATTTTAGCATCCTTATATTTCAAAAATTTTTTAACTGCAACTATAGACAACGCATCACTGCGATGGCGCCGCTGTCGGCACAGCACATGTATACACATGTCTGCTCACACGAATCTAGTTCCTGCGTATGCAGTGCCCATAGCTGCTGTGGGCAAACACAAGCTTGTCTGTAAACAGTGTGTTACTTATACTTCAACCACAATTTGAAGAAGTGTTGAAAAAATTGTCAACATATAAAATAAGGCAATCTTTTTTACAGCCATAAAAGCTAAGGTAAGATAAACAGAGAATACAGCTTCCTGAAACATCTATAGCTATCCCAAGGGCATTATCAGTTGTTACATCTTCGCTCATGTCATGATCCTTTATTGTGACTGCATAAAGATGCAACAGCAGGGTTCTACTGTATTTCACACAATGTTTGAATGTGCAATAGCTTTAACTTCCACAACACATCAGCCAACCACAGGTTGTCAAAATGTCAACTCCACAATAATGTAATAAGTATGAATACAATAATAATCCCTGGAAAAGGGGTACAAGGGGGAGAAAGGTCAAAGAGGAAGCTCCTTTGTCCCCTTGTTCCCCATTTTATCTTATGTGATTATTATCGTCATTCTTGTCTTGAATAAAAGGGTCTACTCGTGTCTCTTAAGAGAGGGAAGCAGCTTACCTGAAGAGCATAGCGCCCCCGGGGCAGAAATCGAGAGAGGCTGTCCTCGACTTGCTTCCCCACATTGCTGCACTCCGTGAAGGTGCGAGCTGAAAGAGCAAATGAGAATTGCAATTTAAAATGATAATAGCGCCTAGAAAGCTACACTCAAGTATTGGTACCCTTTTCCTCCCTTTTCCTCATTGTCCAGTTCTGCCAAAACGGTCCTTCATCCGTTTGGATGGTGAAATTCGTTCATGCGCATGCAGCTTCTGGGCACTGCCATGTTGTTATTGCATCATTACTTGAATTTAATGTAAATATTCACTTCACCTTAGACAAAGATTTATCTATTACTTTTGATAAGATCTTTGGATGCTTGGCAATTTTAACAGCAGCCTGGGGGGCACACTCATAGATGCACCACTCTTCAATCAGTTTGGGGAGTGCGTCTTTAAACCCTCACTCTTTTTATCGTACGGGAGGAAGCACCATCTATCCCCTAACATCGGAAATAATTTTCCTTTAGAAATTAAAGCTATGATGGTAGCACAAGAAAAGTTTCGTACAAAAAAATATAGGCAAAATAGGGACAAAAAAATTTTTTTTTGGTCATGGGTCCCCAGTCAAGGGGTCAAGAAATAGATTAATCTTGTGTGTTAACATTTTTTTCAAAGCAAAAACATGACAGGACTATGTTATCAAGTGTATAGCTCTTTTTACTGTGGTCATAATGAGGTGGCATAGCCTTTGTCATTTGCCCAATAATGCTCAACAAACACAAAACTAAAACAAAAATTCTCGCAGACCAAGAGCCATTATACATGCAGTGCAAGTTTTGAGGGTGAACATTTTGGCAGAGGCCTGCCTGGTCGGGAGAAAGCTTAAAAACTCAAAAACATCCGTCCACACACCCGCATCTGTGTTCCCTACATAAAGGGGACTAGCGAAGCGCTGTCAAGTATGCTGGTAAAAAAAAGTATTCAGGTGTCCCACAAACCGGTATCAATACTTTGGTGTATGATGCTGCGAATTAAAGGTCATCCCTCTAAACAAAGAGCGCAAGGCATTGTATATTCAATTCCATGCCACCTACATTGGAAAAACAAAACTTCCCAGAAAGAATTCAAACACACAAAAACAACTGCAAATTCGACCACGAGCGCAGCGCTGTTGCAGAGCACTGTGAGGACAATGAATATCGCATCAACTTTGCCAACACCCTCATAAATGTTGAGACAAACTTCTGCCAGCAGCTTTTTATAGTCATGGCATATCCAAACAACACCAGGAAACATCAATAGGTCCACTGGCACATTGCTATCATGCTACGTGAACGGACTCAGCCACCTAACGAAGTGAAAAAAAAAGAGACTGTCGTAGAAGAAAACGAAGCTGTTGTCCCCTATCTGGAAGCAGACACCCCTGAAGAAAAAAACAAGCTGTTTTTGAAACGTTGGGACCTTGTTGTAGGATATGGTTGGTGATTTTTTTCAAATTCCAATGTATGAGTTTTGCATTTGTTTGAGTCATCATTCACTTTTTTACCATATTTACCCGCATAATGAACACACCTCTTTATTCTGAAAGTGACATATATTTCGGGGGTGCGTTCATTATGCAGGGTAAATTTCTGCATTTACACACTTCGCGAAAATGTAATTTTAGGTGGCAGTATGACACGGCAAAGTACTGTTGCATGTCTCCACTGACGGAGGCGCATTGACGGCTGGTCGTGGGCGCGCTACAATAACCATGTTCTACAATTTGAAAACCTTTTTTTAGGGTGCTTTCGGTGTGCCTTCTGTCAAAGGAAAAGCGCCCTCCTAGTGAATAGTAAAAAAATCTTGCATGTAAGAAATTTAGGTGACCAATAAAAGCATATGACCAAATAAGATCATATAAAAACCTTATAAAAACGTATAAGAACAATATAGGAAATATATAAGATTATATAAGAAGTTTTAAGAAACTGAAAAGAAGTTTCTTATAACTTCAAATATAATTTTATATTGTTCTTATATGTTTTTATAAGGTTCTTGTATTTTCTTATATGATCTTATTGGATCATACACGTTTGTTGGACATAAATTTTTTTTATACATTTAAGATTTTTTTACTAGGGAAGCTCACTCAGCATGGTGAGTGACGCGACCGTCCTTAGGCCTAACCACTTTCACGATTTCACTGTCCGAAAGCACACTACAGATGACCGTGTGTTTGTTGACATCAATGCATTCGGTGGGCGAAACATGTCCAAAGCTGGGCAATTCCTCGACCCCAGCTTTGTTACGTGTATGCGCCGCTCGGTTTCACTGTTGATCACATCCGCAACTACACACTTGCAGCCATGAAAGCATGTACCGCTATGCTTTTCCTGGTTTGAAGTGGCCTGGCCGCTTGGCGGCGAAAGAAAATTGGCTTGATGGCTAGCCGAGTTGGACGTAGTTTCAGACTCGTGGAGCGAGTAGACACTGTAAATAAAAACATTCTAAAAACTTCTCAGGTGTTCCTCAAGCTTTGAGTACTGTGACCTATTTAAAGCTTGAGTAATTAACATTCACCTCTAAGCTGACTGTGGTGGTAACTACGCACCCACCGGATCAATCAACCACCTCCCCCTCGTTACCTGACCCTGCCTTCTGCACATGGTTATGGGCGGGAGTGTAACACATGGCGAAAGGTAGACATATGACTGGTCCAACGAGCATGTAGCTTCTACTACGATTTCAGCTGGTCATTCAACAGAGTATCGTGATGCAGCACAAAAAAATTTGTGCCATTTCAGAATGTCTGAAGGAGAACACACCCTCAAACATCCTGAAACTGTAGAGAGTTTCCTGCAAAGTCACTCGATTTGATTGGCCAAGCAGTAAATAAAAGGTACACTCACCAAAGCACTGTGTCGCCCATGATAAGCCTGCAACTCCCTTGCAATAATTGGGAAACAACCAAAAAGCCACAGGAATGTAACACTGGATCCTGAAACAGAAAAAAAACAGCAAAATGCAAGAATTAACACTATATACAAACCGCTTCAGCGAGTGACACTTAAAACTAGCTACAGTTCTTTGGGCACCGTCTTTTTATTACAGATAATTGTGAGTGAGGACGTGCTGTCATTATTTTTCTAGCCCTGTAAACCTTTCCCATTCGAAGGTCTCCGACGTCGGTTTCGCAAACTTCATAAAATCTGCCATTGCTCCATTATCAAGTTCTAGAGCAAGTGACAAGTTAAAATTTCAATGGTGGAGGCTCACAGACATTAAGCACCTGCTTCAAGCCCCTCGGCTGACGAGAAAACACTATGCCAACCGCTCCGAAACATAGGTTTTGTGCAGAAGAGAGATTGAAGTATGCTACTGATTCAGTAGAACTACATCATATTCATCAACCATTGTTAGCCGATTGACTATGCGACTCATCGTGAAAACGAGACTTGGACTTGGCCAGGGCAATATGTTTTACAGAGAAATGTTTACCGATTTGACGGACGCTGTCATTTTATTAAGCAGCCTTATATATTTTCTCTTTATGAAGCAGATGAAGAGGAGCAAAACACAAATAGTGCTATGGACAACGGCAAGTTGAAGAAGTGATAGGACAAGCGCTGCTTGTGGTTCTTCAACTTGTCCTCGTACTGCCATTTGTGTATCACTATTTTTTGAGCAACTTGTCAAGCGGTTCAATTTAGTACCCGTGAAGCGGCTTGTCAGTGGCCTTGTTACTAAAGCAGGGAACATGCAGACAACAAATCACTTTGATGGTGATGACCACAACATTTTCATGTCATCTCAGAAAAATCGCCCCCCCCCCCCCCCAAAAAAAAAAAAAAAAAGCTGATCCTGCATTTATGTTGCAGAATGTGTGCATCGTCTGACGGCAGAGACTGGAGGGTCACACTGCAGTTCTCTTCGTGCGTTACACTCCCAGTTCCAATGCGGTGACCAATAAATGTTTCGGTGATACACAAAAATAGAAAGAAAAAAAAAAGACATTGCTCTGAATATTTTGTTGTTCCCCTTATTTAACTTATCAAAACAAATTTCCCGTTAATTGGACCTCAAGATAAACGTGACACGCCGACCTATTAAGGATAAGAGCAATCCAGTCCTCGTCAAATTAATTGAGGGCAATAAAAAAAAAACAAGGAGGTCATGCAATAATTGTATAGGGGAATGGCAACGGTCCCAGGAAGATATGCTTCAGTTTGTGCAGTATCATTGATTTCCTCATTAGACAAGTGTCATCAGCTTTGGCCACTGCTCATGCATTACATTTTAGAGTGAAGCACACTGTAAAATGACATGCCAACCTTTTGCTGGGTTCCCAATTATCCTGAATAACACAAAAATTTGCAAATAAAAGAAGCAGTTAGATCAATAGGTCACAAAAATCTATGTGAAACGAGCAGTCTAGATCAGTGCATGCAGGGTGACTCCATGTGGGGCTGTATAGGAGCTTTACAACCACCCCAATAGCTTGTTAAATCAAACCCAATTATCCTCTGCTAAATGTGTGAGCTACATGGTCTCGGTAGACAGTTCAAATTCCTCACTTACCCCGCATATAAGTCCTAGAGTTGTATTCACACTGCTTGCGTTTGCTTTGGCCTCCACCCCCCACCCATTTTCTCCCTCACTAGGTGGCAGAAACACTGTTCTTATTCTGCATGTGGCTGATTATTAAAAGCCTTTTGGCTTTTCAATTTAAGTAAATGCAAATATTGAAAAGGAGCTTATTGCCTAGTAATCAGGTCTACGAGAAAATCTTGAAGTGTACAATATATGAAGTTTGCTAGACCTATGGCGGACAATATTTACCCTCCAAATCAAAGCAGCACCAAATGTGTCAGCCATGTGCCCATGACAACTTCAGATGAGACTAATGACAAATGCATAAAGCATATGATAATTACAGAACGACCCAATACTATGACCCAGAAAGTTGAACAAGCTTACAAAAAGATATCTAGAATGCCAAAGAATCAATGGAAATAAAAATAGGAAGACTTGACTGATCCTCTCTGAAGTCCCGATCTTGGTATCAATAGCATACATCGATGCTTACAATCATGCTCTGCGGTGTGGCCAGAAACACACACCTGAGTGAAGCTCCCAATCATTATGCTCTTAGGTGGACAAAAGGCTCACTTCAAACAGCTTTCAGCAATAAAAAAAAAGCATGCCAGATACTAACATAACATGGTTTCCCCAAAAATAAAACATATAAATCTCCAACATCTTTAGGGGCTAAGGAAACAACCAAGGACGCACAAGAATGAAGCACCTCATCCCAAAGTGAATGGAACGCCAAGGTGCAACACATCGCTCTCCTAAGCAACTAACACTACTTACAATTTTTTGAACACCTTCCTGGTAAACTAAGAGCGGGAATATTAATTATAATTACATGTGGTGCATCGCCTTCAGGATTGCTGGATGATGTGAAACTCTGGAAGATCTTCAAGATTAAAGTGAGCAGAAATTTTTTACTTGGCCTGAAAATGTCTCATACTTTGTATCTTGTTCAGAGTTAAGCAATAACACCACAGCTATCTACTAACACATTACGCCTAGAAAGTACCACCTACGTAAGACAAGAATGATTCAGACACTACCTATTGTTAGTGCCATTTTGTAAAAGAGACTTGCACAGTCTGCTCACTTTCCATGTGGCACACCCATGAGTTCTTTCGCCGGGCAGATGTGCCAGACGCATATTAAATCTCTCACACCGGCTTCCATGTCCACAGCAAGGCTCTAACATTTCAGAGGTGTGGTCACGTGGCCGTGCCCCTCTGCAGATTGACTGCTGTGGTGACATGTAGCTCAACAGCGGTGGACTTCTCCTACTAGAACCTCAACATGGAAGGAACGAATTCCCAAGGGCTATGGCAGAATGTGCGGAACTTGAACTGACCGGCTGTGGCAGCAAACCCTCTCCAAGTTCCAGCCACCATTTCAACAGGGACGACGGGGAGCAGAGGCTTTGTCAGTAGCGACGGCACCCCCACGAGCCAAAGTCCGTGGCAGCACCTGCGACAAAGAGCCCTTGCATAATCCCTGTCACCACTCCGGCTGGGATCACAGGGAGCACAAATGATGGCGGTGGAGCCACCACGAGCCAGAGCTACATGGCAGCACCTGCAGCAGCGAGGCCCCCACAAGTATACCACTCACCATCTTGAATGGGAACTCGGGGAGCGCAAGTGTTGGGAGGTGACGACAGCGCCACCACCAAAAATGATGTGGCAGCACAAGAACCAGGTTCTGATGACAACAGGCGCTGACATCAAAGTCAACTTGGTGGCTGTCCAACCAAACAGACGTGACACGTACCTGAGAAGGCAAATAATGTTTTGTAGTGATCGAAGTGGCCAAAAAGTTGCCAAGCGAAACTCAGCATTCAACTCTAATGATGAGCCACGCTGTTTCGACTATGATTGACATATGTCTGCGAATCGCTCTAAACCGCAGAAGTGTGAAGGCTGCATCAATTTTAATGGACGTGGACAATTAATGGACCATTTTTGTGTGCAGGCAACAAACTGCCAGCGAAAACAGTGATGAAAACTCAAGTGAGTTACTCCGACACTGCTAAATAGGACAGCTTACCATCATCTCCTATTGATATCTGCCATTAAGCCTGTACCTCGGCACTGTAGGTGATGTCAGTGGTGTCCGTCTCAGGGAACTCAAACTAGTAGTTCACTGAGCAACTCCTCCTTGACCAGGCCTGCAGCGACTATAAATATGAAGAACAGATATATTACGTTACATAAATGACACAAGATAGAAAAGCCACAGACAGTACCATACCTTCCAAGTTTGGGGAAACCAAATTGGGGATAATTTCTAAGCAGGGGAGGAGGGGGGGGGGGGGGTGTTTTAAAAAGAAATATTGAGAACAAATTTGCATGAAGACAACTTCATTATATTTATATATTGCACTGCCTATGCTCATGGGATTGCAGCCGTCCACAGTGATGGCAAAAACTCTTCTTTAGTACAAAAGAGAGGGGGAGGGTAATTTCTCTTTTCGGGAGGCTTTTCTGTCAATCATACAAACTGATCAAAATTTAAGAGACTTCTGGTTAATACGGGGAAGTTGGCAGGTGTGCAATACTAAACAGACACAATTCGCTACCGGCAATGGCAAAAGAGAATGCAGGTTGGATCAGCTATGCATAAAGGTACTTTGAACAACATATACCATATAGAGTGTACTCACGCAAGGCTAGCGAGCGGTGCACTCTGGGTACATCACCGTATTTGTGTTCGTGAAAGCAGACAGCGGAAAGCGCACAGCCTCACGGGCCACACTATGAAGCGAGCATTCTATGGTTCAGGTGACACCACGCATGAAAAAGATGTCGCTCTTGTGCGACAGTCTGCTGTTGCACAAGGAAAAAAGATGAACTGGAGAAAAAAAGACAAGGACAGCAGGCATTGCAGACTCCCAGTTTCTGCAAATCCCGAGAGTCCGAACATGCGTGCAAAATGGTTTGGACACTCCACTTGAAACGAGAATGACTCACTAGCATCATCGGGCAAAGCCCACACAAAAATCATGACAAGTGGAGAGTATGTGAGCATGTTAGTGAAGTTAATTAGTGCCCGTCTATTTTGTGTGTCCAAATAAATAAATAAATAAATATATATATATATATATATATATATATATATATATATATATATATATATATATATATATATATATATATATATATATATATATGAGTAAAGCTATACGCACTCCGGAATGCACTTCGGACGGAAATGGCTATACGCACTCCGCTTTTCTCGCATAAAACGAGTGGTCACAACGAATTTTCTAAGCGGAGGCATGGCATAGGGGTCAAGGTGTCCGCTTCATACGCAAGTGGACGCGGGTTCCATCCGCAGTGGGCCTGCTTTTTTTTTCTTTTTTTTTTTTCTCAGACATTTTGTTTCGTCGAGGCATTTGGCGGTATTTAGGACATTTTTTTTTTTTTTGCGATAAACAGTAAAAAAAAAAAAAAAAAAATCGAATGTTGTTGAGAAACTTCGCAAAACTAAATGGTATGGGACTCCCTTTCGAGGTGCCATCGGGGACAGCGGGGCTTGGATTGCCGGCTGGACGCCGCGAAGCGGCGTGTACTGGTTACGATTTGTAATTAGCAGCCGATACTGTCGCCGCGAAGCGGCGTGAACGCAGGCGAGGGGTTGTGTTAACGAGCTCCCCAGTGATACACGCGCCGTTCTAAAAGGGTGGCCCGAGCGGCATGATCTCTCGGAGGAGTGCGTATAGCCATTTCCGGCCGAAGTGCACTCCGGAGTGCGTATAGCTTTACTCTATATATATATATATATATATATATATATATATATATATATATATATATATCTAGCGCAGTAGATCAAACGGCTCCAACCACAATGTTTTCTTTTTTTACGCGTTTCGCTCGCGTCGCTTGAGATCACCCACAGCGATAAGACGCGCGGGCCGACAAAGAAACCTGGCCAGTACAGATATGGGTAGGCAGCGATGCGTGCCGACGCGAAGTGACGAACCACGTGCGATAAAACGTTTGACAGGTCGACCGACGTGTTGGGTGACCGACTCATGGCTTCGCGATTAGAACTCGCAACCCGTCGGACGGTTTGACGAAAAGCGCGAGGACAGATGCTCGCCTAAGGAAAATACCTGTCAGAATACACTTCTCGGGCGCGATTAGGCAAAGGCAGGGCAAGGAAACAAACCAAGGAGATGCTTGAACGGAAGCTTAGGACACAGAGAAAAAAGGCTTACCTTCGAGAAGCACCGAGGAATGAGCCAATTGAGCAGTGCCCATAACCTCCAGGGCCGTTCATTCTTGCTCGCGTGGTGCCTCGCTACTTATTAGTCGCAAAATCCATTCTCGGACGCGGCATATCGGATCGATATGAGTTCTACGTAAAAATAAAAGACACACCAAAGCTTCGGAAGCTTCGACGCAAATGAAGTTCCGGGTGGATTGGATTGGCTTGTAAAAGACTTTGTTTCGAGGTGCATAATAAATGCGAAAATAAAAAAGTTAATGTAACACTATTCATAAAACAGTAGCGAACCAAAACAATAAAACGTTTTAACAAACTTAAAGAACTAAAACAAATGTATTAAAATAAAAGTTTTATACGCGATACGAAACTTCGCTTAGCCACACAACTACGACGGGATTTTAGTTCCGGTTTGGAATCGGAGGCTGCGTATTTTCGACACCGATTGGATATCCAGGGGGCGTGGACAATTCCCGTCATGGACGTAAAAATAGCAGCTTTTATTTTGACATCTCAGTTATTTTTACGTCAACAACACGTTTTCTCTGGATGCCGCTGACTGCATTGTGAAATGTCGGTAGCTCGGCGTGTGTGCGGCTGGGTGCTCGGCTCGGCGGCTCGGCGGTGTCCGCGCTGGTGCGTGTTGTCAACATTGCCGCCTGTACTCGTCGCGTTCTTAGGAACATCAAAATAAGCGTTCTCCATTTTCAAACTTCGCCCGGTGCCGTCCGTCACTCCTGTTGCAAATGAAGATTACGTGTACCGGAGGCGACAGAGCCCAGCCGCAGTAATTTCGTACGCATTTTTCTGGAGCTGTACTTGTGTGCAGTACGACGGATTATCACCCTTGCATAGAATAGCTGCGAAGGCCGTGCAAGCAGCGAGCGAGTAGCCTTGACTGGCATGACTGCACCCGATGCTGGAGCGCTCGTGGCGCGCGATCCAAAGCAACGAGCTCGCGCTTTTAGCACTGTCGTCGACAGCATTTTTCTTTTCTTTTTTTCAGTGTTAGTCATAAAAAATAAATGTCGTAAATATCGTCAAATGTCCCAACAAAACAAAATGTCAAAAAAAAAAAAAAAAAAGGCGGCCGAGGCTGAGGTTTTTAAGGGTCTATGAAGTAATTTTTTTTATTTATTTGTTTGCCAGTTTTTTTTGCGCCCCTCTTTGAGTACTGTCGCATTTTTTGTATTATTTTCACGTTTATTTTTCGTTGGTTTTACTTCGGATATTATTTGCATAAGCATTTTTGAGCTGACTTCGCACCTGTGGATATTGTCATGATGGATTCGGGAGCCCATATTCGGGTCTTATAAATTTTGAGCCATTGTAATTTCAACTCACTGTAAATAATTTAGGAAAAAATGAAACGTTTGTCTGTAAATATGGTTGTATTAGCGCGTGTGGATGTAGATTGTAGTCATATATTAACACTATTAAAATATTCAGATATGGCTAATTGTCACATTTTTATTTGCCTGGCTAACAAAAGTGTGTCAACCAATTTTATTTTAGTGATCTGGTGTCTTCGTCTATATAAACTAATTTATTATTATTTATTGAAAATATAAGAACGTAGGATTTCATTATCCCAAATTGTTAACTTCTCTCATTAATTTAAGAAAATTAAAAAAAAAAAATGTACAATTCGTGACATATATTCGGCGATTCAAACATTTGGGCAAGGAATGAAGAAATGCGTTGCATCCTTAACATGTTGTTTGAAGTTATATAGACGAAAAGGGTCGGTCCCAGAAAAAAGTAATTGTAAAGTAATTGCATTACTTTTTGATGTAATTTGTAATTGTAATGAATTATTTTTCACATAGTAGTAGTTGTAATTATGGTTAAACTACTTTTGGAGCGAAATGGTTGTAATTGTAATTAAATTACATTTTGGAAGAAATTTACCATGTATGGTTTTCTTCAATTTGCCGCGGAACACAAGAGCCAATTGAACCTCTAGCGTATATTATAACTATGATTTGTACCTAAAGTTTGATTTACTTGCAGCAGAATTTGGCCGGTATTGCACTGCCACCGGGGACGCTTGATTGACAATAGGATGAGTATAAAAAGACGATACCCGAATTCTGTATTGACACCTGCCAATAAAAAGACGCTAAAGGGTTCTTTCGCCATTTGATTGCCATTGTAGCGCCTACCACGTCAGTGCCAAACTTCAATAAAGGGGTAATACTGTGTCCATAAATTTCAAGCGAGAGCAATCGAATGGCGATAGGGGCAATAGAATGTCAGTCAGATGTATATTGAATGGCGGAAGCCATTTTTATAGGGGTAGATTACGTGAACAAGCATCCTCGCTCGCACAGTTGCAGGTCGAAGCGGGAACGTGCTTGCTCAAATGAACGGATTATTCGTGTCTGCGTTTGTGAGCGGGGGAGCCCGGCTTTGCAAAGGAGTATGCGCTGACGACGAGGCGACCACGGGAACAGTCGCCCAGGTGCAAGGTCATTCTTGTGGCGTCTCCAGTGGAACCCCCAAACCGCTTGAGGTAGAACTCACTAAAAGCAAACAACACGAAAAAAAAAACAAAAAAAAAAAAACAAAAAAAAAAACCTCGGGGTGGTTTTTCTTTTACGGTTGCAGCTGATGGCGCGGCCTGCGTGTATTACCGGATCAGGTCAATACCCGACCAAGGCTTGTTAAGCATCTCTTCCTGCGCTCGTGCGCGCCAGTGTTATGTTTTGGCTGCTCGTCGCCACCTTGGCCCAAGGACGCCTGTGATGCAGTTTCTACGGCTGCCGAGTATAAGTACGTGGGAACGGAATGTGAGGGGGCCCCTTGCTCGGAAATGCCACTTCATCTGCCGGCGTCTTATTTACTTCTGTGCTCAAACTTTTGTGATCAGCAAAATTAGCACTACATTTCGAAAGTAGTTAGTAATTTGAATAGAAGTTATCTAAAAAACGTAGTTAAATAAAAGTACTAATTACCAAATAAAGTTGTAATTGAAAGTTACCAAGTTACTCAGAAAAGTAGTTAAACTACAGTAGTTTGAGTAGAGTAGTTGAACTACGTCCACGTCTGTAATGCTTAACAACAGGCAATACACGCAACTCTATTGGCGAATTCCACTGGGTGTTTTGGAGCGCGCCGGGATCGGTCGACCAGATCCGGATTGGAGCACAAGATCCGAACGGAGTCGCGCCGCCTACGGATCCCCAGTGGAACATGACCACTGCTCCGGGATCGGCGGATGCCTTCCCGTCATTCAACTGCCCGGCAATCACCTTTTCGCGGCCGCCGCGGTCGTTTCGAAGACGTTTTCGCTACGGCGGCGCTAACACGTGTTCGACGCACGAGTCGCAGGAATGGCTCAGGCGCTTCTAGCAAAGATTGCCGGAATGCCCGTAGCGCGGCAAATACCTTCTCTTTTCCTTCCTGGAAAACGAACCGGCTGTCGAGCCAATGGGTAAGCAAGCGGCCATTACGAATTCTTCTGATGTCGAGACAATCTAGGAGCCCAGCCAGCGACGTGCTTCTTCTTCTTCTGAGGCGAGATGCCCCACGAGAAAAGAAGTCACGTGCGTGCGCCGAGGGCTGGCCCGGCTGGCTTCCGGTTAAATCTGCCGAAATCGTGGGAGCGACTTTTCTCGTGGCGAATTCTTTTAACGCGCGCCGGGATCGACTTTTCCGGAGCGAGCCTATTTCACTGGGCGATCGGGATCGAGACGAACGTGATCCACTGGTCGTTTTGAATTACCTCCCGCTCCAGATCTCGATCTGGATCCGAGAAAAATCGCTCCCCCGATTTTGGCGGATTCAACCGGAAGCCAGCTGGGTCAGCGTTTCAGCCCTCGGCGCACACACGTGACTTCCTTTCTCGCGGGCATCTCGCCTGATCTCGCCTCAGAAGAAATGGTAATGGCCGCTTGCTTACCCCTTGGCTCGACAGCCGGTTCGTTTTCCAGGAAGGAGAAGAGAAGAGAAGGGTTTTGCCGCGCTACGGGCATTCCGGCAATCTTTGCTAGACTCTCCTGAGCCATTCCTGCCGCTCGTGCGTCGAACACGTGTTAGCGCCGCGATTGCGAAAACGTTGATGCTTGGAACTTGGAACCAGCCGCTACCAGACACCTGATTTGTTTCAAAAATACCCAGGACGTTTTGGGGCAATGAATCGAACACATAGCAGGCGGTAGACAAGTAGACAGCGTTGAAAAATATTTATTCCACCGATTGTTATGAAGGCCGATGGTGTCGGTGTCGCACTTTTGAAGCACTGTCAGTTCAGCTCAACACCACGTTACAAAAGACGGTTTGGGGTACTGCCGGTGCTAACGCAATTTCACAGTAGAAATAGGAATTGCATGGAAGGACCGGACAGAAACACTTTGTACGGTGGCGTAAATGCCGAACATATCAGCAATGTCACTTTCCTCGGTTAGGGTTTGTCAGCGAATGACGAACATCTCGATAAAATAAAGAGCGGAAAATATTCCCCGTGTCAAGTTTTCTAATTACAGCCACTGGTTGATGTCGTACCGTGGTAATTCCCGGCCCTTCGAACGCACTAGCACTTTGTAGAGTCACATTTCCAGCGATTCCGCGCCGCACACGAACGAAGGTAAACAATCAAGATGACGGAGTGTTCCCCGTGTTGTCCTCGCCGTCAGCGCGGTGTGACAGGGTTGTCGGACAACAAATCGGGCAACACTGTTGCCGGGCGGCAGCAACATGTTGCCCGACTGTTGTTGTTGCCGCGATGTGATAGGGTCGCCGGCAACACGACTTCCCCGTGTTGCCGGATAGAGTTGTCCAACTGTCCCCTCAGTGTGACAGGGCGTTTACCCCTTGGCTCGACAGCCGGTTCGTTTTCCAGGAAGGAGAAGAGAAGGTTTTGGGTCCGCGCTATGGACATTCCGGCAATAGCTCCTGAGCCATTCCTGCCGCTCGTGCGTCGAACCGACCGCGGCCGCCGCGGAAAGGGGATTCCCCGGCAGTTGAATGACATGAAGGCAAATGCCGATCCCAGAGCAGTGGTCATGTTCCACGGGGGATCCATCGCCGGCGCGACCCCGTTCGGATTGTGAGCTCCATTTCGGATCTGGTCAACTGATCCCGGCGCGCTCCAAAACACCCAGTGGAATTCGCCATCGGATCCAGATCGATATCTGGAGCGGGAG